ATTACTCTGTCTTGTCTGTGTTGTACCTGTTTGCCATTGTTTGACCCATGCCTGTTATGACTACGTCTCTTAATAAAAGCATGCACATGGATCCGTTCGCTTCACGTCTCTGTCGCCCCGTTACAATTGGGAAGAGCACAAAAGGGGTTATCATTAGGTTACTGTGTGCCTGTGAACAGAAGTTCTAGAGTACTGTCATCCAACTTGTTCAAACCAGCCAATGGACTGTTTGATCAACGAGTGCATCCTTACATCTGTCATTACCGTCTATGTTCCAAAACCATCAGACGAATCCAGTTCACATCAATGATCATTATTCATTAATAATAATTTTATGAAATTTCAGTGCTTAACTTCATTATTGAGAGTGTCATTAATGTGTCTGTCAAATGTAAAGCAGACTTTAAAATCATTCTGTTTGCTACCTTATTTCACTCCCTCCAGTAAAAGTGTGCGTACACATGGTCCAGAGTGTCCGTACGGTGACCACATATTTACACCTAGTTTATTTTTTATAAATCCCGATATGTGCATGGAAAAATGCCCATGTTGTGTGTACGCAACGTTTATACATCAGGCCCCTGGACATCTTGTTTAGATACATGGCATTGTGGATTCTATCAAATAACAACAGATAAATAATAAAAAAATGACTGTCCATGCTAAAAATCTTAAAATGGGTCAAGGTTGGCTCTTACAACAGGACAATTATCAAAAAACAAACATCAAAACAAAAATGGATTACTGAGCACAAAATCAAGCTTCTGCCATGGCCGTCCCATGGCCCCCTGTAGAAAATGAGTGGGGTGAACTGAAGAGGAGAAGCACCAGCATGGAGCTGGAAATCTGAAGGGTCCGGAGTGATTCTGGATGAAGGAATGGTCTTTGATCTCTGGTCAGGTGTTCTCCAAACTCATCAGGCATTATAGGTGTAGACTCAGAGCTGTGCTCTTGGCAAAAGTATGATGCAAAAAGTATTGAATAAAAGGGTACCTTTAATTGTGGCCAACGTGTATTAGAGAAAAACATTTCATAATGAGATTTCCTCCCATTTTAAATTCTTATTCTTCAATGAAAGGTTATATTTTTGTAAATTTTTAAAATAAAAGATCAATAGGATTAACAATGCAAATTTATATTCACAGCCTTTTTTGATAATTTACCAAGGGTACCAACAATTCTGACCACCTTGTTTATGTCAGAGGTCAGAGGAGAATGGGCAAACTGGTTAGAGATAATAGAAAGGCAACAGTAACTCAAATAACCACTCGTTACAACCAAGGTATGCAGAATACCATCTCTGAACGCACAACACGTCGAACCCTGAAGCAGATGGGCTACAGCAGCAGAAGACCACACCGGGTGCCGCTCCTGTCAGCTAAGAACAGGGAACGGAGGCTACAATTCGCACAGGCTCACCAAAATTGGACAATAGAAGATTGGAAAAACGTTGCCTGGTCTGATGAGTCTCGATTTCTGCTGCGACATTCAGATGGTAGGGTCAGAATTTGGCGTAAAGAACATGAAAGCATGGATCCATCCTGCCTTGTCTCAACGGTTCAGGCTGGTGGTGGGGTAATGGTGTGGGGGATATTTTCTTGGCACACTTTGGGCCCCTTAGTACCAATTGAGCATCGTTTAAACGCCACAGCCTACCTGAGTATTGTTGCTGACCATGTCCATCCCTTTATGACTACAGTGTACCCATCTTCTGATGGCTACTTCCAGCAGGATAATGCACCATGTCACAAAGCTCAAATAATCTCAGACTGGTTTCCTCAAACGGCCTCCACAGTCACCAGATCTCAATCCAGTAGAGCACCTTTGGGATGTATAAAAAAAATTAAAAAAAAGTGTAAAATGCGATACGATCTGGGATTTTTGTTAATACTCTTTAACTTTTATTTAATTGACGAAAGTACAAAGAAAACATTTTCCTAAGTTTCCACATACCAACTTAAATGTATTTTCTAAATAAACACATTTTGATTGCTGCAACACACTCAAAGTTGGGACAGAGTCAAAATAAAGTTGAAAAGGTTATAGGATATACAAATTAAACTTTTGAAACCTTTCACAGTAAGCAGGTGATTTGGTAATAGGTGAGGGTATCATGTTTGGGTATAAAAGGAGCATCTCAGTCATTGCAAGCAAAGCTGGATCATGGCTCTTCACTTTGTGCTAAATTTCATGAGAGAAGTGTCAATCAAATCAAAAAGCACATTTCTCAATGCAAAATCACAAAGAATTTAGGTCTTTCACCAACTACCATACATAATATTGTGACAAGATTCAGGGAATCCAGAGAAATCTCAGTCTTTGCAGGGAAAGGCAAGAAACCTCAGTTGAATGTGCAAGACTTTTGAGCCCTCAGATGGCATTGCATAAGAAACCATCATTCTGCTGTGTTAAATATAGCCACATGGGCTCAGGGAGTACTTTGGAAAACCGCTGTGACTTTACACAGTCTGCTGCTGCATCAAGAAACGCAACTTGAATCTCTGTTACTCGAGGATAAAGCTATACATCAATACTGTGCAGTGATGCCGTGGGGTTCTCTGGGCCAGAGCGCAACTCAGTCAAAAAGACAGTGGAAATGTGTGCTGTGGTCAGAAGAGTCCACATTTCAACTTGGTTCTGAGAAAAATGGATGTCGAGTTCTCAGTCCCAAATACCAAAGGGAGCATTCAGACTTTCATTAGCGACTGATGCAGAAGCAAACGTCTGTCATGGTATGGAGGTTCATCAGAGCAAATGGCATGGGTGACTGAAATATGTGCGAAGGTACCATTGACATGGAGACATGTATTGGAATTGTACAGAGACATGTACTCCCATCAAGATGACATCTTTCATGGGAAGTCCATGGTTAATAGATCAAGACAATTGCCGGTCTCATTCTGCATGTGCTACAACAGCGTGGTTTCATTGAATGTGCTAAACTGGCCGGCTTGCAGTCCAGATCTGTCTCCTGTTGAAAATGTATGACCAGTCATAAAGGAAAATCGGACAAAGACGATCACAGACTGCTGAGCATCTGAAGTCTTGTATCAAGCGAGATTAGACACAAATTGTGCTTGTAAAACTTCAACAATTAGTATTCTCAATTCCCAAACAATTAAACATTGTAATTTAAAGAAAAGGTGATTTGACACAGTGGTAAACATGCCTCTGTCCCAACATTTTTTGGAGTGTGCTGCAGCCATCAAAAGTTAAATTTGTTTATTTACAAAATAAATGATGATGGCCATCTCCCGATCAAAAACACAGGCAAGGAAGACGCAGAAACGAGCAATCTCATATGCAAACAAATGCATATGAAAAATAATGTGATCAAAAATAAACAGCATATAAATGAAAACTGCCTAATTTTCAAGTAAAATGTTGATCCCGGAAGTGGTAAAGGACTGTGAAGCTTTGGGGGTGTTGATGGAAGCGATCTACTGCATCTATGCTTTGATCATCGAACTGAACATGATCCAGTTGTAGTCTTTGATAAAAACACGTTTTTCTTAGCATTTCGATTAAAATTGAGCTTTTTTTATGAAACTTGCCTACATTCAAGTGTTGATAAATAACAAAAAATTATATATATACATATATATATATATATATATATATATAACTATTATATTTTATTTATTTTTATTTTTTTTATACAGTAGAGGCTTTGTTCTTTTATTTTGATGTATTGTTTAACAGACTCCAGTGCCCTTCGATGTCATCAGGGTATTCTTGTTGGAGGCTTTCCCCAAGAGAGGCCTGAAGTTGCTGCTGGGTGACAGTTTCATCAAGGCTGTCAAGGTTCAGTCTTGGTCGGATCTGCTTTTTTTTAATTCTCCTCTTCCTCTTGAGTTTGATTGACATTGTGGAGCGAA